TGTCCAGCACCAGGACATGAGACGGCCCAGGTGGGGTGCCCAGCGCAGTGTCCAGCACCAGGACATGAGACGGCCCAGGTGGGGTGCCCAGCACAGTGTCCAGCACCATAGCATCACGAGACAACCCATAAAAGGTGCTGAGCAGTGTCCAGCAACAGGACATGAGATGGCCCAGGTGTGGTGCCCAATACCAGAACATCATGAAATGGCCCAGGTGGGGTGCCCAGCAGTGTCCAGCACCAGGACATGAGACGGCCCAGGTGGGGTGCCCAGCACAGTGTACAGCACCAGTGAGTGTTCAGTGATCAGAAATTTTACTGTCTTCCATTCATTCACCAGATATCATTTTATTTATTTATTTATTTTATTTTATTTTATTTTTATTTTTTATTTTTTATTTTTTTTTTGAGACGGAGCCTCAAGCTATTCCCCTGGGTAGAGTGCCACGGCATCACGCTCACAGCACCCTCCAACTCCTAGGCTCAAGCGAGTCTCCTGCCTCAACCTCCCAAGTAGCTGGGACTACAGGCGCCCGCCACAACGCCTGGCCATTTTTTGGTTGCAGCCATCACTGTTGTTTTGGCGGGCCCAAGCCGGGGATTCCAACCCGCCGCCTTAGGTGTCTGTGGCTGGCGCCTTAGCCACTTGAGCCACAGGCGCCGAGCCTATTTATTTATTTTAGAGACAGAGTCTCACTTTATTGCCCTTGGTAGAGTGCCGTGGCATCACAGCTCACAGCAATCTCCAACTCCTGGGCTCAGGTAATTCTCTTGCCTCAGCCTCCGGAGTAGCTGGGACTACAGGTACCCGCCACAACGCCCGGCTATTTTTTTGTTAAAGTTTGGCCGGGGCTGGGCCCAAACCCGCCACCCTCGGTATATGGGGCCGGTGCCCCACTCACTGAGCCACAGGCGCCGCCCATTTTGTTTTATTTTATTTTTCGCCCATTTTATTTTTTGAGACAGAGTCTTACTTTGTCACCCTCAGTAGAGTGCTGTGGCATCACAAATCACAACAACAACATCTTGAGTTCAAGTGATTCTCTTGCTTTAGCCTCCCAAGTAGCTGGGACTACAGGCCCCCACCACAATGCCCAGCTATTTTTAGAGATGGGGGTCTTGCTCTTGCTCAGGCTGGTCTCAAACCTGTGAGCTCAGGCAATCCGCCCATCTCAGGCTCTCAGAGTGCTAGAATTATAGGTGTGAGCCGCCGCGCCTGACCTTAGATAAACATTTTAAAACTTAACTCTGTGCCAGGGATTGTCTAGGCCTTGCAGATATTATAATTGAACAAAGGAGATAAAAATTCCTGCAAGGACCTTGCATACCAAGCGGGAGAAAGACAATAAACAAAAGAAAATAACTCAAACTGTATGGTATACCCAGTCCCCCAGTAACAAATGTCCGACTCATGTACGTGTTCCAACTTATATACAGATTCAACAATTCAACTTCAGAACAAACCTATAGAAAGTATCTTGTTTGTAACTGGGGACTGCCTGTGTATCTGCTAGTGGTAAATGCTAAGGGGAAAAAATAAACTAAGGAAAGAAGATATCAAATATTGAAGATAAGAATGAAGTTTTGGTCTCTGCGCCTGCAGCACAGTGTTTATAGCACCAGCCACATACATCGAGGTTGGTGAGTTTGAAAGTGGCCCGGGCCAGCTAAACAACAATGACAACTGCAACAAACTCTACCCAGGGCGACAGCTTGAGACTCTGTCTCAAAGAAAAAAAAACAACACAAAAATGAGGGAGGAGGCACCTGTAGCTCAGTGGGTAGGGCTCTGGCCACGTACACCCAGGGTGGCTGGTTCGAACCCAGCCTGGGCCAGCTAAACAATAGCAACTGTAACAACAAAAAAATAGCCTGGAGTCATGGTGGGCGCCTATAGTCCCAGCTACTTGGGAGGCTGAGGCAAGAGAATCGCTTAAGGCCAAGAGCTTAAGGTTGCTGCGAGCTGTGACGCTATGACACTCTACTGAGGGCAGCATAGAGAGACTGTATCAAAAAAAAAAAAGAATGAAATTTTAGAGAGAGATGCCTGGGCAGGCCTCACCAAGGTGACTTTCAGGTGAAGACCCAAAGGAAGTAGGAAAATAGCTATAATTAGGAATGATGGAAAAATATTAATTATATCACTGCCATTAGCATTCTTTTTTTTTTTTTTGAGACGGAGCCTCAAGCTGTCGCCCTCACAGCAACCTCCAGCTCCTGGGTTCAAGCGATTCTCCTATCTCCACCTCCCAAGTAACTGGGACTACAGGCGCCCACCAGAATGCCCGGCTATTTTTTGGTTGCAGCCGTCATTGTTGTTTGGAGGGCCTGGGCTGGATTTGAACCTGCCAGCTCAGGTGTATGTGTCTGGCGCCTTAGCTGCTTGAGCCACAGGCGCTGAGCCAGCATTCTTAATATATTGTTGTTCCAGAAATGTATAATTGCTGTTCTCTTTGTCACAACTAAGGTTGTTACTAAAATCACTGCCAATTCTGGATGTGGAGTAGTTTCAGCAACAGCATGAAATAGCCAAAGGTTTACATTCCAAAGGTGCATGGGGTCTGTAACTCCAGGGAACCAAAGTCTAACTGGATGTGCCATAATCCTTGCCTGGCTTGTATGGGCAGAAACTGCCTTATGTGTGTGGCACGGGGAGCAGGTCAGTCCCAGGCTGATCTCCAGGCCCACTGGCACATATGAAATATCTACACAATGGCATCATCTTTAGACCCAAAGCGCATCCATGCAAAGGTATCTCTGTAGCCACAGGAAAGTGGTGATTGAGTCTCGCTGTAGACAGAGAGAGCATCGATGGTGTTTCTACCACATCTATTTGGATGTCAGGGAGAGAAATCTGCGAGCGCCATCTGGGAATAACTCAGAGGAACCGGAAATTCTTGCTCTCTACCCAGCTGAACACAGACGTTGAGAGTAAGGTGGGTGTGTAATAAGTACCTGCTGGGTCATGATGAATAAGAGTGTTCAATTTGGCTTGTGATTGATGCACACAACTTTTCAAAAGACAGATTTGGATTAATGATAACTCTTAGCAGGCCAGAAAAAATGATCAAGAAAGAAAAGGAAAAAGCCAGAAAAAAAAAGAGTCCCCAAGCCGGAAGACTCATGTTATTCACTGATCTGTTTAAAAGGATACAGTATTTTTAGAAGTTATCATGGTGACGGCTTTATTCCTTAACACAGGCTTTGATGGGTGGATGGGATGGGGCAGGAAATGTAACCTGTAGGTTTTATGAACAAAACCTAATTCTTCAACTTAGGCAGATGGAAAAGTTTTGAAAATATCTTAGTTACATTTTCCAGGTGTATTTATTACTGGAAGTGGGCCAATGCCGAACTTATCTATTGAAACAAACAAAGAAAACCTCAAGATTAACACTTCAGGCTCAGCGCCTGTGGCTCAAGCGGCTAAGGTGCTAGTCACATACACCTAAGGTGGTGGGTTCAAATCCAGCCCGGGCCCGCCAAACAACAATGACGGCTGCAACCAAAAAAAAATAGCTGGCCGTTGTGGTGGGCACCTGTGGTCCTAGCTACTTGGGAGGCGGAGGCAGGAGACTCGCTTGAGCCCAGGAGTTGGAGGTTGCTGTGAGCTGTGATGCCATGGCACTCTACCCAGGGGGATAGTTTGAGGCTCTGTTCAAAAAAAAAAAAAAGATTAACACTTCAAAGCTTAAGCATGGTGAGGTGGCTCACGACTGTAATCCTAGCTCTGTGGGAGGTGGAGGTGGTGAATTGCTTGAGCTCAGGAGTTCAAGACCAGCCTCAGCAAGAGCCAGATCTTGTCTCTACTAAAAATAGATGTTGCGACCACATAAATGATCACACGAGACACGGATTGACGGTACACGCTGCAAGAGGTGAGGCTAACCGTAGGTGCAGGATAGCCCCGAGCACTTCTCGCAGAGCCTTTTATTGAGAAGATACATAACGGGCAGAAAGATTACTAAGCAAAGACATGCAGGGGCTGCGTGCTCAGGAACCACGTGCTTTAGGGACTACGTGCTCAAGAAAATGATCTCATATGAGTGAACAAAAGGTGGTGAAAAGTTAGGTACTCAAGGAAATGATTTCCAAAAAGACTACTTGCAATTTCCTTCACTAATCCTTCAAGGAACTGCCCTAAAATGCTTCTGTTTAACATCAGCCTTAATGCTGCAGGACTGATCTTTGCTCCTCTGGGATTATTGAGTTACTTGGTGGCTTGTCTTCCAAATCACAAGAGATTTCAAGGCTTGCCAGGAAATTGTCTTGTTCTCAGCAATTCCTCAGATGAGCTCTGAAATTGGTGACTATTATAGCAGGCATGATGTTCAATCTTATAATTTTTAGAAAAAAAAAACCACCCCAGAAAACTAGCTAGGCATGGTGGTACACGCCCATAGCTCTAGCTACTCAGGAGACAGAGGCAAGAGGATCACTGGAGCCCAAGAATTTAAGGTTGCTATGAGTTATGAGATGCCATAGCACTCTATCCAGGGCAACAGAGTGAGACTCTGTCTAAGGCAAAAAAAAAAAAAAAACACTCAAACTATAACAATGGAAATTTATGGGGTGGCACCTGTGGCTCAGTGAGTAGGGCGCCGGCCCCATATACCAAGGGTGGTGGGTTCAAACCTGGCCCCGGCCAAACTGCAACAAAAAATAGCTGGGTGTTGTGGTAGGCGCCTGTAATCCCAGCTACTTGGGAGGCTGAGGCAAAAGAATCACCTAAACCCAAGAGCTGGAGGTTGCTGTGAGCTGTGATGCCATGGCACTCTACCGAGGGCAACAAAGTAAGACTCTCTATTTATCTCTAAAATAAAAATTAAAAAAAAAAAAAGAAGAAAAAGAAATTTATGTTACTTTTTTTGTTTGTTTGTTTGCAGTTCTGGCCAAGCCCAGGCTTGAACCCACCACCCCCAGTATATGTGGCTGGCACCCTGTTCACAAGGCGCCACTCAATTTATGTTACATTTTTAATATTATCATTTCCTTTCCATATAATAATTATTACAAAATATTTCATGTACCTGTAAAAGTTATATAGAATATATCATATTCATGCATCTCCTCTAAGGATTCCAGAGACTGACTTCATACACATCTAATTCTACTTTAAGGGTAGAAAAAGTGGAATTTGGACTATGGGAAGATTATGACTGTGCTCAGGGTTCCACAGTTTGCCATGGGGACTAGGAACCCAGCCTCCTGAGCCTCGGGAAATCTTCAGCAGGAGGAGGAGATGGAAAAGTGGCTTCCCACTGGTTTCACTGAATCCGTGAGTGACTGAAGAAGCCGGATATAAATTACCGTGCACCTTCCCGCCTCCTTTTAGAAACATCCACAGGTCACTGCCTTCTAGCCAGAGCTGCTCTTGCTGTGAGCTCCTGAGCCAGGGTGCCCGTCATGTCTTCGGAATCCTTCAGCCCCAACTGGAGGAGAAACTGGGCACAGGCCACGTGCTGACCTGCACAGGCCAGATGCAGGGCTGAGGGTGACAAAAACCACATAGACTCAGTAGACTCAGTGCATAACCCCTGGAGCAATACTGACCCTGGGAGTCAACTGTGCCCCATAAAAACATTGATTCTTTCAATTATACAGATTTTATACTGTCATCATCCATCCCTATGACTTTGCTTATATTGGGTCAACATATTTTTCTTTTCAACCAGATTGAGTTGAAAATAGTATCACGGCTCAGCACCCGTGGCTCAAGCGGCTAAGGCGCCAGCCATGTACACCTGAGCTGGCAGGTTCGAATCCAGCCTGGGCCTGCCAAACAACAATGATGGCTACAACCAAAAAACAGCCGGGCGTTGTGGTAGGCGCCTGTAGTCCCAGCTACTTGGGAGGTGGAGGCAGGAGACTCGCTTGAGCCCAGGAGTTGGAGGTTGCTGTGAGCGTGATGCC